TGAGTTGTATTATAGGAGAGGAAGAACACTTAGCTTAGAATTCCTAACATTTATAATAAGCTGCAACCACACCTTCCCTGTGTTGTAGAAGAAAATACTATCTCTAACCTACAAAACTATTACTTACTACACAAACATCCTTGCAAAGACAGTTGAGGGGTGGGACCAATATATATGTTTCTGTTGATTGTGGCCAATATATTTGTGTATGCTGTTAATGCCTGTCTAGGGACCACACTTTAACAGTCACTGCACTAAAGGAAGGAAGAGTATTCTAGGCAACAACACAAGGTACTGTACATAGGCAACCAGAAAATAAAAGCAAAATGATGTGATAAGAGAATTTCAGAAAGTTCAGTGGGCTAAAGTTTAAAGTTTGGTTGTAAGGTGGGTGAAAGGTAAAAATTAATTACTGTAAACGTAGTAGCATTGTGGTCTAAATTTGGCACTTTTCTGATTACTGACCACTCTTAAGTCATGTTTCCAATTCTATGAAATGGGTATGACTTTTGCCCATTTTTCTATTAGATTTTCTTACTCTTTTTCTCATTCACTTGTGGGATTTCCTACTACATATATATATATATATATATATATATATATATATACACACTTTTTTTTTTATTTTTGAGAGAGAGAGATGGAGTGCAAGCAGGGGAAGGGTAGAGAGAGACAGAGGGACACAGAATGCGAAGCAGGCTCCAGGTTCTGAGCTGTCAGCACAGATCCCGACATGGGGCTCAAACTCATGAGCCATGAGATCATGACCTGAGCTGAAGTTGGATGCTTTACCAACTGAGTCATCCAGGTGCCCCGACAGTATGGTACTGGCACAAAAACAAACACATAGATCAGTGGAACGGAAGAGAGAACCCAGAAATGGACACAGAAATGTCTAGCCAGATAATCTTCAACAAAGCAGGAAAGAATATACAGTGGAAAAAAAGAGTCTCTTCAGCAAATGGTGCTGAGAAAACTGGATAGCAACATGCAGAAGAATAAACCTGGACCACTTTCTTACACCACACACAAAAATAAATTCAAAATGGATGAAAATCTAAACATGAGACAGGAAACCATCAAAATCCTAGAGAACACAGACAACAACCTCTTTGACCTCAGACACAGCAACTTCTTGCTAGACATGTCTCTAGAGGCAAGGGAAACAAAAGCATAAATGAACTATTGGGACCTCAGCAAGGTGAAAAGCTTCTGCACAGTAAAGGAAATAATCAACAAAACAAGAAGGCAACCGACAGAATGGGAGAAGATATTTGCAAATGACCTATCAGGTAAAGAGTTAGTATCCAAAATCTATAAGGAACTTAACAAACTCGACACCCAAAAACCAAATAATCCACTGAAGAACTGAGCAGAAGACATGAAGAGACTTTTCCCAAGACATCCACATGGCTAACATACATACAGAAGATGCTCAACATCATTCATCATCAGGGAAATACAAATCAAAACCACAGTGAGATACCACCTCACGCCAGTCAGAGTGGCTAAAATGAACAACTCAGGAAACAAGAGATGTTGGCGAGGATGTGGAGAAAAAGGAAGCCTACTGCATTGCTGGTGGGAATGCAAACTGGTGCAGCCAGTCTGGAACACAGTATGGAGGTCCCTCAAAAAATTAAAAATAGGACTACTCTATGATTCAGCAATTGCATTACTAGGTATTTATCCAAAGGATTCAAAAATGTTAATTTAAAAGGGCATATGCACCCCAATATTTATATAGCAGCACTATTGACAATAGCCAAAGTACGGAAAGAGTCCATAATGTCCATCAAATAATGAATGGATAAAAAAGATGTGGTATACATGTACAATAGAATACTACTCAGTGATCAAAAATAATGAAATCTTGCCATGTGCAACATTGTGGATGGAGCTCGAGTATGCTATATAAGTCAGTAAGAGAAAGACAAATATCATATGATTTTACTCATATGTGAAATTTAAGAAACACAACAGAGGAACAGATGGGAAGGGAAGGAAAAATGAGATCAAAGCAGAGAGGCAGGCAAGCCATAAGAGACTCAGATACAGAGAGCAAACTGAGGGTTGCTAGAGGGGACATGAGTGGAGAGATAGGCTAAGTGGATGATGGGGATTAAGGAGGGCACTTGTTGGGATAAGCACTGGGTATCTACCATATGTAAGAGATGAATCAGTTCTACTCCTGAAACCAATACTACATTGTATATTACCTAACGTGTATTTAAATAAATCAATTTAAAAAAACTATGCTATGAATCCAGATCTGTGGTTAGTGTACAAGTGGTAAAGTAACCTGTGTAAATGAAAGAATTCCTAAATTCTTTTTTTAAATTTTTAAAAATGTTTAGTTATTTTTGGGAGAGTGAGAGTAGGGGAGGGGCAGAGAGAGAGGGAGACACAGAATGCAAAGCAGACTCCAGAGTCCTGCCCCGACATGGGACTCGAACTCATGAACCATGAGATCATGACCTGAGCTGAAATCGGACGCTTA